TTTTCCTAATTATCTCTATTCCTTTTATGCTTTTGCATTTCAAGCCCTTTTGGCTAGTGAGTCTGCCAATAAACAATAACTTCCATCTGAAGCCAGAGGTTTCTGAATGCCTCACAGACGTGTTTTCATCCCAGCTGCCACACTGTGCAGTTGCCAAAATCTGTTGTGACAAATCACAGCTCTAAAGGTAGATTAGCAGACATTTATCATCTTTGTTTGTAACAAAGAAAATGCAAATGTATCTTAGCTTATTGTCTGTTTCACTGAATCCCACACTCCTAAGGTGTACCCCTTTAATGTCCTTTTGGCTTCACCTTTCTCACAATTGCACAGAACAAACATGAACTGAGAGTGTACATAAATATGCATTCTCTCTTGCTCTGCCTACTTCTGATGGGGTTTATTACATAAGATGAAGAATAACTGAAAAGATCATTATTGATCATTCTTTTGATTGACATTTATGGTGTTCTCCCACGTATGAACAATACGTGCAGTAAGAAAAGGTTCCTGCTATTTTCTTAGTGCTGTTCTTGCATGTATTCCTACATATTTACAAAAAAATCAAGGCTGAAGGCATGCATCCTTTTATTTCACATTAAAAGTCTGATTCTTATTGAGTGAGAGAACTTATTTCCTGATTTTGGGCCAAGCTCAATGAAGTTTTGCTTCCTGTTGGTATTAGATTGTGCCTCATTACAGAATGTGTTATTCAGGAGACAGATATCACTCATGATCATCATCCCTGAGGCTTAGATCTGTAGGTTTTTTAATCTTCTAAAAAAGTGTTCAGACTCCACACAATTTATCTGTGAAGATATAAAAAAAAGTACTTATTGTACATACTAACAAGATATATATTTTGTGACCCCTAAGGAAGTGGTGCATGGACCACTCTCTCTGTTATCTGTGGGTAACATGTTTACATCCACTGCTTTGGTTAGGATAACTGAAGAGATAACAAAAATTAATAAGAGATAAGATATAAAAACTTCAGCTTGTTTGAATAATTTGTATTTAGGAAAGTTAAACTCCTTCCTATTTTTAGAATGAGTGTTCTTCTCAAGTCAAACCCACAGTTTTCATGGGCTTTTCATCTGCTCAGGAAGACACATCAGAGAAGAATATAGTTTCACATATCAAATTATTTTCTACAAGTGACAATGAGCCATATCATTTACGAACACAGCAACAATAAACAGCCCACTGTATCATACAAATTCATTGCAGAAGCAGACTTAACTCTGTATCCTGTGGGAAAATAGCATTTCTTTTAAAACAAACAATGAAGTCTTCCTACTGAAAAATTAGTAGCAGTTATGCTTTTAATTTTACTTGAAATTCACTCCTGTGCATGCCACCATGCATTTCACAAAATGTTGGTGGGCAACAACGAGGCAGTTGCTTTCAAACTTATAATACAAAAACGTTGAGAATCAAATTTATTCCTTCCCTATAAATATGGAATGGCTCACCTGGAGACACTGAATTATTAAGGGTTTGTATGCATGCAAGATGGGGCCTATTCAAAGTTTTATTTTTTAAAACTGTAACAATTATATTCTTCCTTGTAGCTGTTGCATGATTTATTGGTGGATTTTTTAAAATATGAACTTTTGATAAGTTAATTCATAAATAGCAGTAGTGGCTGAAGGATCTGAAAAATCCTCACAAGAGAGTGATGGAAGAAGTTGGAGATACTCTGATCTTGTCTTGCCCCAGTCTTTGAGAGGTGGTTTATGCTTCTGCTAGCATAAACTAGTTCAGTATACTAGATACCATATTAGTTCTATAATAGAAAATGCTATAGTACCAAGCACAAGTTAAAACTTCAGCAAGTCAGGAATTTCTTTGCTCCTTAGAAGAGTTCTCAAGGTCCATTGCGTTTTTAAGGCTATTTCTCATTGTTGTTTGGTATGAGAACAGTTGTAGCTGTTCCTACTCTCCCTTCCTACTTTCACTTGCTCTGCATTTAGGAGCAAGTTTTAGGGAATGGAGACATGGCTACTGCCACTTTGAGATGGTCTAACATCAAGAGAAAAAGAACAGTCTTCTGCAGGAGGATGCTTCCTCTCCATCTCCCTCCTCGCTCCTCCAGTTTTCCTGTTGATTAGCCTTTCTAAGATTTTCATAATCAATTTTTAGTCCTTGTAGTAGCTTTATGATATAGGAAGAGCTTCATAAGTACCAACATACTAAAATATTGTAGCAGTATCAGTCTGCACTTACATGAGGCCAGAAGGATGAGTTTAACCAGCTGAGAAGCAAATTTTCCATTCACAGGTTTAAGGTGCAAAAAAGTACACAACTCACTTTACTACGCCGTCACTGCGAAACAAAGACCTACAACTCACCATAGCAGCAGTTTTCTGTACAATGGAAATACATACTGTATTTCTCCTTTAAACTATAGACAGGTTATTTTCACTGTTTAATCAATGCAAACACAGTATCTGGACTTTAAAGAATTTCTTAACCTATTGATGTACTCACTCAGAGTGACAAATATACCAATCAGTTGGAACAGAACTGTGAGTTTTCAAAGCTGATTATTTCTTTACTGTTTATTTGCATATCCTAAATAAACATTTTTATTTTCTGACTCCGGAATTCCTTTTACATGTTTAAAAGGTCTATTTGCTAGCAACATTGCCCTGTTGACTTGGACAGGGCTTCTTCTGTAGCTCTGGAGAACCTTTAGGATGTAGCATATATGTCAACCCACCTGGATCAGTTTTAACAGCTAAAGCAGCATTTACCTCTCATCATCATCCATGATATAGCTGGTTCATGCTGATAGGTGGGAGATGCCTTTTTATCTGCTTTTGGTCAGGTTCTCTACATTTTGTGACATTAAGACAAGGTAGATTTTCTCAGCTTGAAACATCCACCCAAAAGATGCCATGAGCAACATATTAAATTAGGTCTTCTTGAAAGTGGACCTATAACACGTATAACTCCTTATCAGCACTTTTCATCTTTGTCAGGAAAGAGGAATATCTTGTTTTGGTTCTACTAGTAAATTTTTGACCTTAGAAAAGAAACTCTAAGTAGAACCATGAGTGCTCTATTTGGATTATTGTGGGAGTGAAATTCAAAGCCATCTCTGCACCCTGGAGGGTTTACATCATAGCTGTAATCCTTTTATATTTATGGACCTGGAGAGCACTGAATCCATAAAAGCACTGAGACAGCAGGGTTTCCCCATCACAGGAAAATGAATTGTGGTTTTACCCTTGGGCATGCTCCCTCAATTTTTCCTCAACCCAGACTTCCAGGGGAAGCTCCCCCTTGCTGCCTGTGACAGGGCAGTTTCCTAGTGAAGGCTTTCAGTGTTTCCACCCATGAGAAGAAAGGGGATACACCTTGCTGGCTGTGTATGTAACAGGAATTCTTAGAGGTATAAACCTCTAAGAAGAGCATTTAACAGCTAACAGGTTCAACTATGCAAAAGATTTGTTGTAAAGCTAAATATTGACCAGCAGTATTTCAGAGAAAACAAAGCTTCAGGATGTCCTAACTGGACCCTCCAGTACCTGAAGGGATCCTGTAAGAAAAATTGTGAGAGACTTTTTTACAATAGCATGTGGTAATAGAACAAGGGAGAATGGCTTCAAACTGAAAGAGGGCAGGTTTAGGTTAGATACTAAAAAGAAATTATTTCCTGTGAAGGTGGTGAGGCACTGGAACAGGTTACTGAGGAATGTTGTGCCATCCATGGCAGTGTTCAAGGCCAGATTGGATGGAGCTGTGAGAAATCTGGTCTAGTGAAGGTGTTCCTGCCCATATGAAGGGGTTGGAATCAGCTGATCTTTCAGGTCCCTTCCAACCTAAAGCATTCTATGACTCTGTGAAGAGCTGTACAAAGGAAAAGAGAAAGCAGCAGTCCCCTATATAAGTGTAACAGCTCAACCCTTCATAACAGTACGTGAAGATATATTAAAATAAACTGTATGGCTATGGCACTGAATTTTCTTAGTGGTGAAATACCATTTCTGTATTCATGTTTCCCTTATTAATATCTGTTTAAAACTGTTTTGAGGTTTGCTGTTTGCTTCCAGTTTGGCAGCTGCCAGATGATATATAAATACACATTTATCTTTAAAATTCACTTACAAATTCAAACCATGCCATATATTGCTTTAAAGTATGTAATCTGAAGGTATTTTCTCACTGGAAAAAATAAAATCCACAAGCATTTGTCCTGATGTAGAACATTAGACAGCTTGCATACATAATGAGCAGATAAAGATGGTAAAAGATGACTTGGAAACTGGTACCAAAAGTGATATATATTTCCAGTTACTTTAATTTTTGTAAAACCTAGTTGAATCTTCTCTTTTTTTTTTTTTTTTTTTTTCCTTCAAAAAATAATTTTGTCACAGAGCAACGAGTACAACAGACCTTCAGACAATGTTTATTTTACCATGATAAAAAAATTAATATTATATGAATGCACATACTTTTCATAAAAAAATTAAGTAAAAAGCCAACATGGGCTTAACTTTTCATGTAGTCCAACTGAGTAGAATATGTTTTGAATTGTGGGTAAAAAAAACACTATTGACATTTCGTTACTTCTTGGTTACCTAAATCATGGGAGGTAAGGCTTACAGAAATACCTATTACACTTTGGGAAAATGATTAATTTTTTTCCATTAGAAGCAATATATTTTGACACTCGTCAGTAGTGCCATGATTTTGTAATGGTGAAAGTCAAGACTTCGCCCTTGATTCTGTTCCAGTGACTGACACATTGACAATTCCCTTGAAATGCTGAATGCAATAAATAGTACATAGAATTTTCAAGGAAATATTTGATAAAAAATTGCATCCAAACTGATGAAAGTTTTCTCTAGAGTTCCCCAATATATGGTGCAATTTGAGAAAAAACACTTGCTAGAGAATTTGAGGTTTTCGATGACTGCTGCTACGGGCTTGTTCAAACTTTATTTAGCTGTTGCTCTCTTGCTTAATCCATGATCTGTATCTCCTTTTAGGATTGGTGGAGCCATGCCAACAGTGTTCTCCTATTTTTCGGAAGTGCTCGCTCGGGAGAAACGAGGTGAACACCTGAGCTGGCTCTGTATGTTTTGGATGATTGGTGGTATCTACGCTTCTGCAATGGCTTGGGCAATAATTCCTCATTATGGTAAGAAAAGCCATAGAAGAAAGAAAAATTTCCTTGTGATTTGGAGATATGCTAGTATGAAAGTAAAGATCTTGAAGTTTGATAGATGATGTGGAGATTTGCATCAGAGAAATTTTAAATTGCTGGAATGTCAAATTAGTAGTCCTTTTGATACAGCGACAGATTGTGAATTGAACATTCCTGAGAAGAAGAGTAAGAGTTTTCTTAGTGTTTGCAGTGCTGAAATCTGAAATTAATCTGAAATAAAGCTGTGGTGAATACTTCTTAGTAGATATTTTTAGTGGTGTAAAAACAGATAAATGGAACACAGTACATTTAAATGCTGTAGGGATGTATGAGGGCAATGGCTGAAGTTATACTCATGTAAAATATAAACTACTCTGTCAAAGAGCTCTTTAATTGCCCTGACATATTTAAACATAATATGGAAGTATAGATTAAATTCTTTGTCTCTTGTGCTTGTGTTTTACAAGAGTTAAGTGCTCACAGGTCTCCAGGGTTGCTCAGACTGCTCAGGGATTCTTAAAAATCAGCTTCTTAAGCAGTTCTCTCTGGCAGGCCTCAAGTGAAGTAAAGCAGCACTGTGAGCTGGCATCCAAAGCAGCTTCCTTTAGTCAAGTAATGAGGTTTATCAAAGCTATATTGTAAAGGTTTGCTTAAAGTGATGGGAATATTTAGCAAGTGATAATGTCCAGAAATAAATTATAATAATGCAGACTAACCAAATACCTAGACTGTTGCATTAAAATTATTTTAGGGTTCAGTACACCAAACCTGAATCTCTATCTTCAACCTTGCCTTTTGACTTTGAACTGCTGGAAGCAAATAGAGGAATTTGTGCTGACAAGGCATAATATGGATTTTTTTTTTCCAAAGTAGTAAATTGCTCTGGATGCCAAGTACTTTTTTGCTTTCTTATGGACTTTTATTTTCTTTATCTTTTAATGCAAAAAGCAAACATTATGACAGACTGATTTACAAAGGTAGTCTAATTTAATGTAGATTTTATAAATAACTTTATATTCTTTACTGAGGTGCTTTTACAATATCACATGGCAGTATATTTTAATACAGTACACTTATACCAAAGCAGTGTCACTACAGGGAAAACATTTATCTTTCTTTAGCAGTGGAAGAATATCAGCAACAGAAAGGAGTGCTGCACTGAGGTTTTTTGTTGTTCTTGTTTTTGTTGTTGCTTTTTCCACCTGCAAAAATATTTGTTAAATAAGACAAGAGAAAACAAAAAACAACTTCAAAACATAGTATGCTTTAGTGCTAGACATACAAATCACTACTTGTAGTGTATTAATGTATGTTACAATGATCAAAAAAAAAGGCCAAAAAAATCAAGCTATCATAAGAATCCTTTTTCAGAGTAAAATAAGTAAGTTTGTACACCATTTTGGCAAAATTAAACAGAACATATTTATAGGTTTTGATGAGGTCTTAAAACTGTCTTTACTTTTAAATCAGACATTTTTGTTATGTTTGAAGTCTAAAACCTAGTCTTAGTTCCTAGTATTAGCATGAAATCTCTCTAGTTCAGGCAAACTATTTTGTTGTAATAATGCTGTGCCAAGCTCTCAGAAGTTGCCAAGGGATCCCAGGGCAAGTCCTCTTCCAGCATTTGGGGAGTGTGGTCACACATTGCTGTCCCCTCCCAGAAACATTTCAGGTCAAGCAAATGCCCATTCAGGTGTCTACACCATTTGTATCACATGCATTTACCAGGAGGCTCTTATGGTATTTTCTCTTTTACTATTTCTAAATGATTTTTATGTAGACTTATTTTGCCAGAATTAAGCAGAGATAGAGATTTTCCTCCAAATCCCTTTCCCTTTCGTACTTCTCATCATTCACATCTTCAGTGACCAGGAAGCAAAACATAATTATAAACTACCCACCCACTTTTAAACTGCATTTATATTTGTGCATGGGTATTTCTGTGTTCTCTGTTTCTCAGCTGAGGACCTGACAATATTTGGTTTTCTCAGCTGGACTCAGAAGTTACTCAATAGCAGTGAATGAAGCTCGATCTGTAAAAAAGCAATAAACTGTCATTGAGCATAGTGGAATTATTCTTCTATTAATATCAGGTCAACACAGTAGAATACTTCGGAATACTCTTTTCTTTCCTTGTTTACCAATGTATTCCTTTCATTTGTACTCCTTCTCATACAAGCCACTTTTAAAAAGTCCTAGATACATAAGTACACATTATCTAGTCCAAGGCAGACTGTGAAGCTATACATGTATGTTTGCCTGTTGAATATTTAGATATATCTTTCTGGGAGAAAACACAGATTACTCTCTTTACGTAACAGTTTATCTCTGTTGCTGTTCAAGCAGCATAGCAGACTCTGAAACAGGAGTAATGCCCTGGAACACAAAATAAAGTGTTGATAACTGTTGTTTTGACATCAGCATGTTGGTAACTGAGGGATAAGTGTGATGCAGTGCTGCAGTCACCACATATGGAAAGGCTAATATCATCTGGAAGACAAGCGTCTCTGTAGCAAGGCTTTTGGACTTATATATCTGTTGACCATTGTTTAAAAACTGAAAGTTTGTGTAGACTTGTTCAAGTTCTCCTAAACGAGAGCTCAGGCTGGGAAGAAGAAGAAACATCTGCAGAGAAATGCTTCTAATTGCAACTAATTTTAAAAGTCCCAGATTAGACTGCTGAAAAGAAATTCCTCTCTACAGTGTTTATATCAGTCTGGATAGGAGAAATAACAATCATTTTGTAAATACTTCTGCAAGTGCAATTTTAATTTTAGCATCCTGTTCAAGGTAGAGTAGTTCAAAAAGATGTCAAAGACTTCAACTGTGTATTACAATAATGAAGAATCCCAAGAAAGAGAAATTTTAGTTCAAAATCCAAATACTTATATCTTACAAAATTTTTTACACCAAGTTTATTTTTTAGCCTGAGAGTAGGAATTAAAAAGAATTATGAAATTTGTTTTATCAGTTATTAAAAAAGAAAAAAAAAATCTGTGCCTAAACTAAACATCAAGAGAAGCTAGATAAGGATTTCAGTGTCCTTACCCTTTCAATTTTGATATTCTGTCTAATTGTGTTTTGACTGCAAAAGTATACAAGCCTTTACTGGCTTTATGGACTATAGGGAAATCTTCTGAAATTTACAACATTCCCTAGATTATTTTACTTAGTCATAAAAAATATTGACCTCATTTGTTCTTAAATCTTATTCTTGAACAAGAAAAGGAGTTCTTGACCAAAAAGAAATTAGATTGCAAGGCAGAGAACAGGATGGTGCAGGTATCCGGGCTGTTACGGTGTAAGTTGCAGGTGGAACCTGAAGCTTTTTGCAGACTCTCACACCCCAGTTCTGGTATTAACCAGAGAAGAGACGAGATAGCCATGTCAAATGACATTAGTGAACAAGTCTCCACTGTATGGCCAGAGAAGAGACATTACCTCCATAAATATGCAAAAGATTCCAATTAAAATAGGCTCCATTATTCCCTAAACCATTTCAAATTTAATAATACAGAATCAAGGAAATAGGAAAAATACTTCTTTCTAACACATTCAGTACAAATCAGATGTATGTTTAAACATTCTTTCAGACCAGCATAATCACATTGCATGACAGATCTTCACCGAAAGTATTCATTTTTCATCACTAGAGTCTTTTGTTCTGCTAAATTGAGGACCACATACTTGTGTTCGTAAGAGAGGTATTTTGCACCATTCAGGAAACAAACTTGGAGCAAAAAAGTGTGGAATAAGAAGTTTAAGGAAACGGCATTCCATTCCAAAAGTGAAGATTTCTTGCCTAGGTGTAATGTGTCTCTCTGGCTGTAGGTGGGAATGTATTAATATGTTCTCTATTTCAGCAGTTTTCTATTGCATCAGCAAAAAATTGGTATTTCATTCTGTGACTAAAAGTCACAGTTACAAATTATAAACTTGTCACTAGTCACAAACAGTATTTCTACTTCAGTCATTAGAGTTTTACTAGAGAAAGCGATTTTTTTCTGAATGTATTTGTTTTTCAGAGAGGAAGTTCTTTACAGTAACAGAACTTAAAAATATAGACATAGAAGTGTCCAAACAATGCACTCACTCTTGACTTGCAAAGCACTGTATCTAAAATATTAACAACAACTTCTATTTTAAAATTTTTTAATTATGTCTCCTACTGGAATTTTTTGTATTCATTTCCTGGCCCTTAAAATATATTCACTTCTATTCTCTCTGAATGTTTTTGCTTTTTACTTTTCTCCTGTCAATATGACTAAATGAGTTTAACGGGCAGAAACTGGGACTTAATTTAGATAGGATAGAAGTTAAGTTTTAAATACAGTTGTTATATAGTACTAATATGAACTGCCAAATGTATTTACAGAATCTTCATTCACTGGATGTTGTCAAGGGCACATGAAACTACAGTCTTTAATAGTTCAGAACCATGCTAAGTTCACTAGACCTACCAATGGAGACCTATTGACTGTTCTTAATTCTACTTTCCATAATTAGATAAGCCCTTTTTTTAGGCCCAGGAATACATAATGGCTTCTATCTCAGCGCAAATGTGAGAAAAATGGACCAATCTGTTTTTCTTTTGAGTAAAAACTGGTTTGCAAAGTGGCCTGGAAAATATTTCTCGGTTTGTAGCAGAAGATTGTTGCAGTAAAGCAATTAAATTCATCTGAAGAAATTTTCTCTACTGGCAATGAAAGTGATCCTTTTATCATCCTTAATCATGGTGGCTTGAAAACATTTTTTGTTGTACTTTCCATGTCATGTTTGCTCCATTTTTATGTCATCCAACTGAAGATAAGAAAGATAAACCTATCTTTAAAACAACAATGAAATCCCCTTCTGCATGAAAGCGTCATGAATGGTATTGTAGTAAAACAGGCAAGGCAGCAGGGCTGCATGCAGCAACTACACAGATGAGGAGATAGATACTGGCTCACTGTGCAACTCACAGCATGCAAAAGCATCAGGCAGTGTTAATGGAG